GAGACCGAGGCCACCATCGGCTACGGCTACCGCTACATCACCGACAAGTGCCCCGAGGGCATCATCCTCTTCCTCTTCCAGTCCATCCTGGGCTCCATCGTGGACGCCTTCCTGATCGGCTGCATGTTCATCAAGATGTCGCAGCCCAAGAAGAGAGCCGAGACCCTCATGTTCAGCCGCGCCGCTGTCATCTCGCAGCGCGATGCCAAGCTCTGCCTCATGTTCCGTGTGGGCAACCTCCGCAACAGCCACATGGTGTCTGCCCAGATCCGCTGCAAGCTCATCAAGGTGAGGCGGTGGCGCAGGGTGGCACCGGGGTGGCGGTGGTGGCACGGGCAGAGGTGGGCACAGAGGGCAGCAGCGTGAGGTTTCTCCGGTGTAGCCGGTGCTGGTGATGCCAGCTGGCAGCTGTGCCCTGCCCCGTGCTGTCCCTTGGCTGGGGCGGTGGGAAGGACTGTGCAAGATTTTTCCTGTTCGCAGCAGGAGCCGTGAAAGAGCCAAGCAGGTGTAGGGGAAAACTGTTTGATCAAAGAGCCCCCAGTGGATTGTGAGGCTGGCAGAAAGTCAGGATGGACGGATGGATGTGTCAGGATGCAGGACAGCTCCAAGGATGGCTACTGAGGCATGCTGCTTAGCAGATGATGGCTGGGAATAAGGAATTGATTTGTGGTGGTATTAAAGTAGGATAAAGATCAACCTTGACCTCCTCTTCCTCTTGGGGGAGCTTTGACTTGCAGTCCCTTATCCCAGCTGTGTTCCAGCTAGTGACCTGAGAGCATTTCAGAGGGATTGTGTAGATGCTCCTTTGATTGTCACCAGTATCTGTTTATTAATCACTGACAATGGCCTGTAGAATTCAGAATGGAAAAAATCAGGGATTCAAAAGGGAATATAAAAAACAAACCAAAACCAAACCACAAAAAACAACAACAACAACAACAAAACAAACCCCAAACAAACAAACAAAAACACCCAGAAGAGTTTGGCAGTCACTAAGGTCCAGAAGATAAATTTGGCTGGAGTAGAATGGAAGAAAAACACTGAAATCCTAAGCAATGTATAATCTCACAGCAGCTATGACTTGTCAGGGGAGCATCCTTGGTGAGGAGTTCTGTCTGAAGCTCCTAAGCTGTCAGAACCTGGATCCCAGTGATGAGATTAATTTCAGGATATCATATTTGAGTGTTATAAATGTTCTATCTGGTAATTCTCTCTGGCCTATTTAATAATCTGCATGAATAAACATGAAGCAGTAGGTGTTGGGGCAGTGGTAAATATGAATTATAAATCTGTGTTAAATATGAGTGGTAAATCTGTTCTGTGCTGAATGCCATCCTGAGCTGTGAATTTTTCTTGCTGTATAATACCACTTAAAATGGAGAATCTGCTAAGGTTTAAAAAGAAATTATATATATTTATATATATATATGGGAACAAGCTGTCAGGAGTTACACTGGAGCAATTTTTGTAGGAATTGGAAAGCCAGCTGAACCATGGTTTTTGTTGCTTTATTCTCCAGAAATCTCATTGAAAGTGTTTAATTCTATCATTCAGAATGGAATGCAGGTCAAAGTGGAATAAAAGTGGGGTCACATTGTGTTTTTACAGAGAGGACAACTAATTTTCTTTTGAAATAAGACACCAGATATACAGCCTGATGTCCTTTCTGCTGACAGTTCTATTGCTACACAATGCTGGTGACTGGGCCAGAAAACTGAAGGACATTTGATGGACCTGCATGACCATGGTATCTTAGGATAGCTGTTTTGTAGGCCAGACAATGAATCAGTGAGCAATTCTTGATTTTATTTTTTTTTATATGATCATCATGTTGTCTTGAAGCTGCTTTGTGACCTTTGACAAACACCAGCTATGAACAGAAGATTTAAAATTGAGTGTGCAGTAACTGCCCCCTCAGTCCTCATTGCAAGGTGTGGCATTTCTGTAAATCCTTGCCACTGAACTGGACACACCATTCTGGGAGCCACTGGTGGCTCTCCAAATCACCCTTGAATTTCCATCAACTGCTTTAAAGGAATGTTTTGTGTCCTGTAAATTAGGGTGGATGTGCCAGAATTTGCTTGCTGTCTTGAGCAAATCCTTTTTGTGGTTTGAGCTCTGCCCTCTGTACTTCCCTGCAGTGCTGCCAACTCCCGCACCTGATCAGGTAACCAGAATTTTCTTTTGTACTGGTGCCACAGTGAATAAATGTGAATAAACCCATCACATTTTTGTACTTGAGCTGGGAGATACATTCAGCAGTGAATGTGGTGTTTTGCTGGGACCAGTGGAGCTCTGAAGATTTAAATTTGTACACTAATCTAAGTTTGTCTGAACAGCATTTCCTGATAGTGTGATGATGCCCTGATCCATTCAGTGGAGTAAAATGGTGCTGCCACACTGGGCTGGCTTTTCTTCGTGTCCAGGGGCTCTGCAGCAGCATGGCAAAGTGATTCCATGCAAAAGTCTGTGGCTCTATTTCAAATGAGTTATGGAGAGCTTGGAAGACAGTTACAAGATTAATTGTGTGTTTTTCAGCAAAGACTTTTCCAGAAATCCAAGTCTTTTCTACTTTACATTGAGTGCTACAGAAGCTGGGAAAAGCAAAATCCTGGGGCAAGAAATAGAAAAGAGAAGCTATTTGGAACTAGCTGCTGAAAATGTACAGTTTCAGGTCCTGGACTTTTTAATGTCACAATGAACTGTATTTTTCTGCCTTGGTTCCTGGACATTTCTAGTGTGCCTAAGGCAGCAGCCATAAGAATGGCAATCAATATTGATTTTATAAAACTCAATCACAGTACACATTTGTACATTCTCTTGATCTGGCTACATATGTCATTGATAAACATGATAGTATGGTCATCTATACAGTATTTCAGGTAGTATAGGATGTTTTGATTCAGAAGGAATGTAAAATCATCATAGCCTGTTTTCAACAATAGTTTTAACATTAGTTTCATTAGTAACATTAATAACAATAGTTTCAACATGTGCTAACAATAGTTTTAAAAATGCAGTTGTGAAATATGATGGCCACAGGGCAGAGCTTTTGGTTAGAACCAGCAGGCACCTGTTCTTTAGGCTGTACTTAGTAACAGCTTTGAATGAGCTGAAAGCAAACAAAATTGTACCAGAAAGTTTGCAGATGGCAGGTGACAGGCATTGGAAATGAGTAAGAAGACCCATTATATTGTGATTTCAATAAGCTGATAAGTAGGGCAGAAAGTGCAAAACAAAAGAGTTTTTTAATATTACCGAATTGTTCAGATTGGAAGAAACTTCAGGAAGTTTGGGGTCCAACCTTCTGCTGAAAGTTTGGTGAAATAGGAGATCAGACCAGGTTACTCTGGGCTTTTTCCAATAGAGTTTTGGAAACCTCTGAGAAAAAACACCTGCACAGTCTTGCTGGGCAAGCTTTTCCACAGCTTAACTGTCCTCATGATGAAAATATTTTCCTTCAATCCCATCCAAACTTCCCTTGTTTCAGTTGATGCCTGTTGTCTCTCATTCCTGCCAGGCACCTCTGGGAAGAGCCTTGGTCATGTTGCTGCCATGTTCCTCATTCCTTTTGGGATGTTTGTTAGATCCTCCTCCATGCCTTCTCTGCTTTGGTCTGAGCAAGCCCAGCTCACACAGGTCATATTTGCAACCAGACTAAAATAAAAAGCAGCAGTGATCCTAGGAATTAGCTCCAGGTGTAATGTCACAACTGATAAACTCCACACAAATCTTCAGCCATGGTATCCAAGTAACAAGATCATTTTATTCCATTATTCCATAGACTTTATATTCCAGTAATATGAAATGTAATAACGCTTCTTGCAAGCTGATAGTCTGAGTGTGGGGGAGGAGCAATGAGCATGTACCAATTCAGCATTTTCTAGATTTTCTTCTGGATATGTTTCTCTACAATATTAAGCTTGATGGTGCTCCATCTTTTGAGTCCCACTTTTTCTGCTCCAGTGCTTGATTAGTCCACCTGGATATCAAAACATAATTATGTGAGTTCTCTAATGAGTGAACTGGCAGAGGGATAATAATAATAATGGTAATGATAATAATAAAGCTGCATCATCTCTACAGGGAGATATGCATGTTTATGCATAAACAGAGTTTAGAAAAGCAAAGAGAATTAATAAAGGATAGGAGTGAAGATTTAAAGGGCAAGATGTATTTGTTCAGACACTAAAACAGACTAAGTGGTGATGCAGTAGAAGCCTGCATTGTAATAAAAACTGAAACAAAGATGCAGTGGCAGAAAGTTAAAGACACAGGAGTCTTTGATAATTTTAATTTTTTTTTTTTTACTTACCTGTGATGCAATTAACCTTTAGAGGAATTCTTTGAGACTTTTAGATTATCCCTCTCTGACCACATTTAAATTGCAGGCTAGGGCATTTCTAATTAATTGTTCCCTTGTTCAACATGTATTAATCTGCAAAATTTCCTTGTCTTTGTGTTATGTGGATGGTGAAAATAAAGAGTCACAAGTGTTCCTTCCAGACTTATTCCTGACATTTTATAGCCCTCTGTCTTCTTGTTTTGTGATCCTTTGAGTAAAGCTGTAGATGTAAATGTAAATATAAAACAAAGGTCGCTGGCTAGGAGGCTGAGCCTGTTGGGGCTATTAAGCTCTCTTCATTCAGGCTAACCTATTTTTATTCAGCAAACAAGTTTAAAAATCCTCCATGCCCTGCATAAATCAATCCTGCATGTAAGATCCTGAATACCTCAAACAAAACCTTCTGCTTTCTCCCAGATCTGTTACCTCTCATCACCCTCGCTGGGTTTGTTTACTATTGAATGGGTTTGATTGAAGACTCTTCCACAAAGAAAATGGTGTGTAGATCAAACAGTTCTCAAGTCAGGCAACACCTTGTGCAAAACGGCACATTTTTGTCTAGGTGGATGCGTTTGATGAAGATTTGGGTCAGTTTGAGATTTAGATGTTGGCTCATACTGGTTAGAACAAATATTATACCTGGGCAATCAATTTGTGCACCCACTGCAAGAACAGCAGCCAGCAGCAAAAGCAGTGTTGGTCTGCAGTTGAGCTCTGCAGGAAAAGAGAAAAGGTGATTTTGCAGCAGGCTGATTCCACCTTTGCTTACAACAGACTGACATGACTGCTGTGGAAGTGTTGATCACTTTTATCTCACAGTAACATCACTTTCATCTCACAGTAAATCTCACAAAGAGATTTTTATCTCTTTACCTTTCGGATCATAAATAATTTGTGAAAATGCTTTCACATGCAATCAGCTGATATTTTCTCTGTCTTCATCAGCAAAGGAGAAACTGAATCTTGGCCTCCTGTGTAGGAATGTGCCCTGGAGTGACTAAATTATCTTTTGGCTCCTTAAAAAAGGGAAAAAGCTCAGAAGTTTCTCTCCTCAATGAGGTAAAAAGACACTTCAAAGGACCCTGGGGACTTCACCTCAAACTTCAGGATGGCCAATGGGACAGAGGCTAAAAGGTCCTGCCTAAGCAATTCACTAGAAAAAGAAGAGAACAAAGGAAATAATGGCTTTTGTGGGGTGTTTTACCAGGAGCAAGAACCTCTTGCCCCTGGCTTGGTTTTTCTCTATAAAGAGCTTTGTTATTTTGCCTGTTTTTAAAATATTTCTGTTTCCAACACTACCACAGAAGCCGTGCTGCTGATTTTATGCTATTTGAGGTGGCTGAGCTATCTCAGGTGTGATATAGACATCCAAGAACTTACCAGAAATGGCTCAAAGAGACTCCTGAATCACTCCTGTGCAGGGAGAACTTTGTTTCTTAGACAGGAAGAATATTTCTTCCTCAGCAGCAAAACAAGCAGGTAGCACATAGATGAAACCATGGATTGTATTTAATAATGAGCTGTGCTCCAGCTGCTGCCTAGCTGGGCCTGTAATCTCCAGTAAATACCAGGCAGTTATAAAATCAGCATTTTTAAGGTCCATGTGAAGAAGGGAGATAATATGAAGATCAACTATTTGCTTGGGGATTTTCTTTAAAGACAGAAGCTTTCTTAAAAGAACACTAGTCAGATCTGAGTTATGGAAAACTGCTGCCTTTGGCTTGCTCTCAGTGAACAGTGGTTCCAAAATGCAGCACAATTAAAACTATTTATTTGTTTATTTATGATAGTAGAACTTATAATAATATTAGTAGAAATATAGATAGTATAGATAAATATATGTAGATACAGATATAGTTAGTAGAAATAAATATAGATATATAAATATAGATAGTAGAATTATAATAAAATTTATTTATTTCTAATCAGTAGTCATCTTCTTGAAGAGTTAAGTGCTTTTTAATCGGAAATAAACAGGAAAGATTTGAAATAGGATTTATTTATCAGCTGTGCTAAGCTGCTCATTTTGGTGGGCAGTTTCCACCAGACACCTTCAAAGCAATCCCATGACGAGCTGCCTGGCCAAGTGATGGAATTTTTAGTTAGACTTTGAATACCAGGAAAATTTGGAGAAAACCCTGTGGGCTAGAGGGAAGCTGCTATATCAGTGTTTTTACTGGGCCATGGAATGATGGGAAGAAGAATGAGGCACTTTGTTTAATAATAAATTCAATTTGTTAAGGTTAATATGCAGTAGGTGGTAAAAGCAAGGGGTGAGAGCATCATCAGTATAAATTCAGGTGATTTGTGAAAATGCCACTTACCAGATACACTGTGCAATTAATGTGGTGTTTACCTTTGAGTTAGTACATCACAGTGCCAAACAAAAGTTAGTAACATACAAAAATAACAGAACATTAATTCAATCAGAATAAAATGTGCCCAGATTTTGGTCTCATTAACAGGAACTTTTGCCACAGGGTATTCATGTTGAACATCCATTACAAGGCATGTAGTGTGTGGTACATGACATTTTTTGTCAAAAATAAATTTATATTTTAAAAATATAAAAATAAATAGATATTAGATATATAAAATATATACTATATAAATAAAATAAAAATTATATAATAAATAAATTTATAAAATATATCTTAATATATTATTAATAATGTATTATAATGAAATATAATAATATAATTATATGATATTTATTATAACATGTAACTATATATAATTATAATAATATATAATAATAATATAATTATATTAATATTAATAAGATTTTAGCATATAAAATATAAATATATATTATATATATATATGTATATGTATATATGTATATATGTATGTAGGTATGTATGTATAGTAGAGTTTGTAGGTGGTGATGACATTCACTGACATAATAAGAAAAGTCAACCTTGGTCTTGCATAGCAGCCTCACAGATTTAACATTATTTCATGTCCATGATGAAGCCCCCAGACCTACCACATGTACCTGATAATATCATGCAAGAGGCAGATTTAAACTGTATTACATTGATTTTATGTTTTGCCTCACACAGTGATTACTAAATCATCTTTTTCTCTTTAGTCCAGACAGACACCGGAGGGGGAATTTCTGCCACTGGACCAGTGTGAGCTGGATGTTGGATTTGGAACTGGAGCTGACCAGCTGTTTTTGGTTTCCCCTTTAACCATCTGCCATGAAATCAACTCAGACAGCCCCTTTTTCTGTCTCTCACAAAGATCCCTGAGGAGTGAGCAATTTGAAATCGTTGTCATCCTCGAAGGGATCGTTGAGACCACCGGTAAGGCTCGGAATAATCTGCATACTCTGATTTTTAATCTCTGTTTTTTCAGCGCTGATATTTTTAGCAAGGCAGCTGTTAGTGCTGCATGCTGCAGCATTTCCTGCCATATGCTGCAGAGCTGCCGTGGCTCTCACAAGGAACAGAGACCTCCCTTGCCCACAGGCCTTGGCACTGCCAGTCCCCAACGTGGCCAGCAAGGGACACAGCCTGCTACTCTGTGTGCCACAGCTCAGTGCTTTCATGAGCCTTCTGTTTTAAGGATCACCACTCTGAAAAAAAGCTGAACTTTAAAAGTTGCCAGTGCTGCAAAATTCCTTTTAGCCTAGTGTGGTATTTTCTAGGTCCCCAGGATGAAGGAGGAATTGAGAATCTGACTCCATGTTCTTAGAATGCTATAATATAATATAATATAATATAATATAATATAATATAATATAATATAATGTAATATAATATAATATAATATAATGTAATATAATATAATACAATATGAATAATTTTATATAATATATAAATATTAAAATAGATAAATAATATAATAAATAAACATATTATATTATATTATATTGTATTGTATTATATTATATTGTATTGTATTATATTGTATTGTATTATATTGTATGATATGATATGATATGATATGATATGATATGATATGATATGATATGATATTATATTATATTATATTATATTGCATTACATTACATTACACTATATTATATTATACTATATTATATTATACTATATTATACTATACTGTATTATACTATATTGTATTATATTATAAGGAATACTATACTAAAACTATACTAAAGAATAGAGAAAGGAAACAGACAGAAGGTTACAAAGAATGATAATAAAAACTCATTACTGACTCCTCAGAGTCTGACACAGCTGGCTGTGATTGGTCATTAATTACAAACAATTCACATGTTGGATCAGCAATCTCCAGACCACATTCCAAAGCAGGAAAACAGGGAGAAGCAATCAGATAATTATTGTTTTCATTCTTTTCTGAGGCTTCTCAGCTTCCCAGGAGAAGAAATCCTGGTGAAGGGATTTTTCCAGAAAATATGACAGTGACAGCCTAGCTTGCACTGACTGGAATTCAGAGTAAGAAATCCACTTTTACAGCACAAATACAGACCTGATAGTCACAGAGATTGTAGGCATATGTGGTTATTGACAAATATGAGAAGAGTTTTGTTTCTTTTTTAAATTTGGGTATGGTGTTGTCCAGAGGACAGCTGATTTTGTGGCCTTTTGTTTTGAGGACTCAATTGGGATTTTTCAGCCTGGAAAAGGGAATCTTTGGGATGACCTAATTGCTTCCAATACTCAACATAGTGAAGAAAATTAATTCTGTCCCAGCTGAAACCAGCACACAAGCTAATACTGTTTTATTTTATATTTTGCTATGGCTTGGTTGCAAGTCTGCATAAAAATGTAGTCAGTCAATTAGAGACACTCCATTGACTGGACAATCAGATTGTCTAGGAACAATTGCCCCATTTTATAACCTATAAAATCAGTGGCTTACTGGCTGAAATTCATTTTTATGTCAGCCTCTGGCAAGCAGTAGTTCCTTCTCCCAAGAAACAGTATTACTTACTCTCTCAAGTCTGAATAGGGATTTTTCAGCCTGGAAAAGGCTGAAAACTTTGGGATGACCTAATTGCTTCTAATACTAGAAACAGTAAAGAAAATTAATTCTGTCCCAGCTGAAACCAGCACACAAGCTAATACTGTTATATTTTAGATTTTGCTACGGCTTGGTTGCAAATCTGCATAAAAATTTAGTCAGTCAGTGACTGTCAGAAGATTGCCTAGGAGCAACTGCCCCATTTTATAACCTATAAAATCACTGGCTTGCTGGCTGAAATTCATTTTTATCTGTCAGCCTCATGTATTTTTGGTTCCATGTGTCAGTCTGCTTGCTCACATGGAATGCTCTTGTCCATTTGCACAGGAATGACGTGCCAAGCCAGGACCTCCTACACAGAGGATGAAGTGCTGTGGGGTCACAGGTTCCTGCCAGTCATGTCTCTGGAAGATGGATTTTTCCGTGTGGATTATTCTCAGTTCCACGCCACCTTTGAAGTCCCCACTCCTCCTTACAGTGTCAAAGAGCAAGAAGAAAGCCTGTCCCAGGCATCTCTCTTGAACAGTCCTTCTGAGAAGAAAAGCAGAAGAGAACAGGTTTGTCCTCTTGACTGTGCTGATGTTACAGGAGAGAAGAACAAGCTCCCTGCTAAACTCCAGAAGATCAGCTCGAGGAAGGAGGGCCTTCCACCAAGAGCCCTGAGAATGAGTTCCTGTAACACACAGAAGAATTTCAGTACTGGGGATCTCTTGGAAATTGAAGAAATAAGTCCCATGTCCGATGGTGAAGACAGTGATCACAGGATGCAGCTGAAAGGCTTAAAAATAAATGCCAAGGCTCTGACTCAGTCCACCAGCAACCTCGAGTTACAGAAGGATTTTCCAGGTATGGGCACCCTAGAGGTGAAATTGGAAGATAATTTCCCTGCCAAACTTTGAAAAATGAACTCTGATTGCTTCTTTTAAGAGCTGAAGAAACAGGAGTTGCTGATAAACTGCATTTGAGACTGCTGCCCTGGAAGAGTTGTTTCACAGTAAAGTCACAACTTGTCTCTGCTGCTTTCAGGAAGAATGATCCTTTTTTGTATAATTGTTCTGTGCAGATCCAAGCTAGGTAGCATAGCAGGACTTTGAGGGGCAGTAAGGTTACCCTGTCATGCCAAAGAGATTCCTGCCCTGATAATGCTTATCAGCATGCTCATTGCAAATCCAGCCTGTCTTCCATGTATGCGGATGCTTTTTCACAAAGCAAGGATCAGATCCTCAGGCACAGATGGGAGCAAGAAGGGTGTAAGAGCAGCTGGACCCTGGTTTTGTGCAGCTCAGGTCCTGGACTGCTCCTGAAGGGCAGAACAGCAGAACACAGGAGGAGTGTGTGGCACTGCTCAGCCCTAGTCCAGCTGTCTCTTTGCAAAGAGGCTTTCCTGCTCCATCCTTCTCTCCCAGTGACTGTGGCACACTCCCTGTGTGCTCCCAGTGTCTCACCCATGGCTATTCAGGTGAGGAAGCAGTGTGCAATAACCATTTGGGTCATTTGGCCCACAGGAGCTCTCCTAAACGTGAGGATCTTTATCCTGTCCAGAATTAGACCTCAGCATTTGATTTGGTGGATCACGTGCTGAATTTTAATGGCCATATCACCACTCACTGTGAAGGAAACTTGAGATCAGTAGCTCAGATTCTTGGCATGTTTTGTACTGCAATTAAATGACATTTCAGTTTGGAGACAATGTAAGTAAATAAATAAAAGCCAAGTGCTAAATAATGCTCAGTCATTACACATCTCAGAGTTTTACTAATGAATGGTAGTCTTTGATGTTGCTAATTTTCATTTTGTTCCATTTGCCTTCTCCATTTATATATGATTCTCAGTAATTTTGTAGATTTGATATTTATTGCTATTCAGCTCAGTCGACCTCTGCCTGTGAGAGAGGCTTTTTCTTTCCTGGTTGGTAGTAATTATAAACACACCCTGCTGTTTGTAAACAGTGTTCAGTGGCTCAGCATCCAGTGTTCATCACCAGACCACTCTCCAATAAAGGATCAATTCTGCTCTTGTTACATGGACAAAATTCAGTCAGATTTAATTAAAAGGGGTGGCAGTGGCCATGATGTTTGCTAATGCATTCCTGGATGGTAAAATTATGTATCCAGGCTATGAACAGCTTGGCTTGCAGAACTCACTATTTCTTTTGATCTGTCTACAGTGTGAAACTGGAAAATGCTGTTTTATGCAGGGTTAAGATGTGCTGCTTGTTGTCGTTTATCTGTTCTCAACATGAATTTCAACAATATATATGTGCTAAAATCTGTATTTTCATTTATCAACTGTATTTGTATGGAGTACTTAGATGACAGCATGAAGTCTTAAGCGATGATGACTCTCCCTACTCTTTGGAGCTGCCAAAATTAGTATAAAATAAAATTACATCCACCTCAGGTCTCAAGTGTTCTTTACTCAAATGTGCATGTGTGTGTTGGAGCAGAGCAGCTCTGGGAGATGAGGCCCCACCCTTGGGCACACTCCTCCTCTGCTGTGGGGCAGAGTCATAGTGTTAATTAATTGTTAATGAGCAACGACGCTAATTATCAATGGGTTACCCAACTTAGAGGCCAGTGTTTTTTACACTGCCACTTATAAAATAATTAAACCTCCTCATTTCTATACACACTGACACATAAAATTAACTTACAGAAAAACTGATTGGACCCCGGAGCACTTCACAATAGGAGAATGGGTGAGTATAGATCTATACAGAATGAATAAATATCACCTAAAATGTTGAATTAATGCATTGTAGGAAGGTGCTCTTTACAGAGTAATGCTCATTACAACTCTCTCCCTACTACCACAGAATGACAAAAGCAGTACTGCAACCAAAAATTTAAAAAAACCACAAAACCCCAAACCAAGCAGAAAACCACACAGGCACACTGACACTACACTGCTGACACCTGATGATAAAAAGCACTAAGAAATAAAAGGATTAGGGTTAGGATAGAGAAAAGAGTGGTAAAGATTTTCTTTAGGATTCTTTGTAGTATAGATAAAGTACAGAATATAATATAATATAATATAATATAATATAATATAATATAATATAATAATCACAATATAATATAATTATAATATAATTATATTATCATAATATAATTATATTATTATTATATTATATTATATTCTGTACTTTATCTATACTACAAAGAATCCTAAAGAAAACTCGTGACTGTCTCCTGACAGTCAGGACACAGCTTGGACCTGATAGGCTAATTAACATAAACAATTATTGTATTTACAGGGAATGCCCCAACGAAGGCAGGAATGATGAATCTGACTCCTTGTTCTCAGAAGGCTAATTTATTATTTTATAGTGCTATATTGTATTAAAAAAATACTATACTATACTAAAGAATACAGAAAGGATACTTACTGAATGCTAAAATGATAATAATGAAAACTTGTGACTCTTTCCAGAGTCTTGACACAGCTTGGCCCTGATTGGCCAATGAGTCAAAACAATTCACATGAAACCAATGAAACAACCACCTGTGGGTAAACAATCTCCAAACACATTCCACATGAGCAAAACACAGGAGAAGCAAATGAGATAAGGATTGTTTCCTTTTCTCTGAGGCTTCTCAGCTTCCCAGGAGAAAAATCCTGGGCGAAGGGATTTTTCAGAGAGTGTGAATGCCACATTTCCTGAGTCACCAGAGAGCCCAGTTTCAAGTCCCACAGCCAGGGTTCCCCCTGATGGGCAGCATAAATCCATGTTCCCTGCTGCTGTCCTCAAGAGCTGTAGCCCCTGTGACCAGTGTTCCCTTCTCCCATCACAGCTCTGTTTTGCTGGTGCCTGGCCTGGGACTCCTTGTCTTGCACAGGAGACTGGACTGGACTGCAAACACGTGCTAACAGTGGCTATAGGCAACTTTATTTCCACAACTAATTCAATTTCAGCATTTGTGTGCATGCAGAGGAGGAAGATGGGCAGGAGAGAGGACACCTTTGACCCTGAGGCTGCCTTTGGATCAGCAGGCACTGCCCCAGTGTGAAGTGGTCATGGCCCACTGCACCCTGCACTGGATCTTGTTCATCCTCCTGCTTCTGTCTTGTTCCCCATGAGGCTCTGCAGCATCTGGTGCACCTGAGTGAGGAAGTGCTGCAGTATCTCATATGGGTGTGGCGTGGGAAATAGAGAATCTGTTGGCATTGGCTCCACAGAGAAATTTAAGGGCCAGGCTATCTCTGGCATGGTTGCTGCAGTTGGCTGATAAGTACTGGCTGGAGTAGAGCAGCCTGCCTCTGTTGGTGTTGGTGTTGGCGGCACAGAGGGGGTTGTGCTGAAGGTTGGCTCTGGCGTTGGAGCCTCCGTGACAGTTGTCTGTGGACATGCAGTGGTAGTAGAGGTGGAGCAGCCTGATGGTGTTGGTGTTGGTGTTGGTGTTGGCTGCTCAAGAGGCATTGAGATGCAGGGTGACTCTGGCGCTGAAGTGGCTGTCACAGGTGGGCACACGCCCATCTGGAACAGGATCCAGTTGTAGAAGTACTGAGTGGAGGTGTAGACTCCGGGCTGTTTGGCTTTGGCACAGCCTTTCCCCCAGCTGGTCACTCCAACCAGCCAGAAGTAGCTGGCACGGTTGTCTTTGCACACCAGAGGCCCTCCACTGTCACCCTGCAACACAGGAAGGAGGATTAGGGTGGCTGCTCTTGCACATTCATACACCTCACACATGATGCATAAATTCCATTCAAACACAGGATTCTGTCTGGTCATCATCAACTTCTTCCTCAGAATCCTGACAGTGTCTTCAGGGCTGAGTGAGGTGGGAAGAAGTTCGTTTCTTCTGATAATGGAGCAATAAATTCTCTTTCTTTGAAAGATTTAGGTGTCCTGTGGCTGCTATCTCAGTGTGAGTATCTCATTCCTTTCTTTAAAAAAATATCCCACATACTTGGTTTCTATTATAACATTATGTTATAGCCTAAAACTGCATTTAACACACTACTCGAGAAAATTAACACAGCATCACTTTCTAACATGACACATATAATATTCATTTTAATATTTTCAAAAATCATAAAATACACATTTTTCACACATATTCATACACCTCACACATGATGCATAAATTCAATTCAAACAAAGGATTCTGCCTGATCAGTGTCAGCTTCTTCCTCTTAATCCTAACAGTATCGTCACGACTGAGCAAGGCAGGAAGAAGTTCATTTCTTCTGGTAATGGAGCAATAAATTCTCTTTCTTTGAAAGATTTAGGTGTCCCGTGGCTGCTATCTGGTGTGAGTACCTCATTCTTTTCTTTAAAAAAATATCCCACATACATAGTTTCTATTTTAACATTATTAGTTTCTATTATTTAACATTATTTCTATTTTAACATTTTGACATTATAAACCTCTATTTTAACATTATGTCATAACCTAAAACTACATTTAACACACTACTTGAGAAAATTAATACAGCATCACTTTCTAACATAANTGAAACTGCTAAAAATTCACTCGGTTCAGGCTCTGCAGGGTTCCTTTGGTGGTGCTGGTCCAGGTCAGCCTGGGGTAATTTGAGGGCAGATAAAATTCACTGTGTTATGTTTGCCCAATTACGCCATCATAAAAAACCCCACAAACAATATTTGAGGTAGCAGCAATTTTAATAACAATAACAATATATAATCAATATAATCAATAACAGCATATAATCAAAAGATAACCACATAACCATAAGGGTACAGATAACCACCCATAAGGGTACAGAGTGCAGGGTTTTGGAGCCTTGCCACCTCACATACAAGCTTGCCAAGTGAATATTCCCCCCTTATATGCCATGTGTCAATGCCATCTCCTCCCATTTTTGATTCATCATGTTATGTTTGCCCAATTATCCCATCATAAAAAAAAAAAAAACCCAAACAATATTTGAGGCAGCAGCGATTTTAATTGAATAGTTTAGAAAATATGTAAAATCAGATACACTTGAAATATCAACAATATAATTTGATTAAAAATAAGGGATAATTTGGTTCCAATAATAGCATATAATCAAAAGATAACCACAGGGTACAGAGTGCAGGGTTTTGGACCCTTGCCACCTCACATACAAGCTTGCCAAGTGAATATTCCCCCCTTATATGCCGTGTGTCAATGCCATCTCCTCCCATTTTTGATTCATCATGTTATGTTTACCCAATTATCCCACCATAAAAAAAACCCCAACCAATATTTGAGGTAGCAGCAATTTTAATTGAATTGTTTAGAAAATATACATTGACAGTATAATTTGATTAAAAACAAGGGATCATTTGGGGGTTCGTTTTTGATGAAGGCCTCTCCTCTTCTTTGATGTCCTTCAACTCACCTTTGGGTTACACATGTGCACCAAGATAGTACAATGTAAACCAAATTATTGAGATGGCAGCAATTTTAATTGAATAGTTTAGAAAATACATATTGACAATATAATTTGATTAAAAATAAGGGATAATTTGGGGGGTTGTTTTTGATGAAGGCCTCTCCTCTTCTTTGATGTCCTTTTATTCTCCTTTGGGTTACACATGTGCACCAAGCAAGCCAAAACTAACACATTACAGCATTTAAGCATCAAAGCAGTAAATCTCTTATAATTGGCATTTTCCTGGGACCCAACCTGATTTCCCTTCTTTCTGTTAATTTTTAGTAACTGTTCTCTCTTGTTTTTTCCTGCCCTTGAACATCTGCAGGAAAGGGGGGGAAGGTGGAACCCCTCCTCTCCGTTTGTTTCTTGGCATGACATCTTTCAACTGTTTNGTCTGTGAACACTGTCACATCTTGATTTATTATTTTATGATATATATTACATTAAAACTATACTAAAAGAATAGAAGAAAGGATTTTGTGGGAATCTACAAAATTAGAGGGTTTTGGGAAAGCTGCAAGATGCAAGCTTTAGATACAGCAAAACTGTGGGCCAGAATAAAGCTCTGGATCCAAACCCTCCATCAGAACCTGACTCCTTTACTTCACCATCGCCTTAAAGCTTTTCTGCCAGTGGTAAACCCAAGGAGCAGCCCCTGTTATGGGGGGAAGCTCCATCCCAGCACCACCAGAGCTCCTGCAGGCCTGCACTTGTCCACACAGGCCCAGCTGCAGCATCCAGCCAGTCCAAAGTGTCTGTGGGGTGAAACACCACACACCCAGCTGGCCCAAAGTGTCTGTGGGATGAAACACCACACACCCACCCAGCCAAAAGTGTCTGTGGGGTGAAACACCACATACCCAGCCAGCCAAAAGTGTCTGTGGGGTAAAACACCACAGTGCCGCTATTTGGTTTGGCCCCAAGGCCCAGACAAACTAAGGCACATCCTGTCTGGCTATATTGGTAATTATTCCAAAATCTCCTCCTTACCTGGCCTGGAGGAAGCAGTGTGCTGCTGTGAGGACCCACTGTGGGCTGATGAGGGACCCTCCACACGTGTGGCCGCTGCCATCTTTCCTGGGGTCCTGGATGCTGACAATCCAGGGCCAGGCCCCGGGCAGGGCCCCTGCACCAGCCATGATTCTGTAGTCAGCAGTTATGGAGTCGTAGTCAGCCATGGGCCGCTGCCCACAGGTCCCTCTGGAAGCACAAAGTCATTATTAGAGGGATCAAGTTCTGGAATGTTCTGCTGGGAGGTGGTGGAGTCACAATCCCTAGGTGTGTTTAACAAAAGCCTGGATGTGGAACTGGGTGCCCGGGTTTAGTTGAGGTGTCAGGGAATGGGTTGGACTCGATGATCTTGAAGGTCTCTTCCAACCCAGTGATTCTGTGATTTCCCCCAGCTCTGCTGGGTGCCATCCCTGGATATGTTTAAAACAAGCCTGGATGTGGCACTGGGTGCCAGGGTCTAGTGGAGAAGATGTTGGGGTTGAGTTGGATTCAATGATCTCGGGGGTCTCTTCCAACCTGGTCATTTTGTTCTGTCCTTTGTGCTCACACCATTCCCACAAGGTCATTTCCTCTGCAGGACAAGAGGACAAGAGGACCAGGACAGGAGGACACAGCCTCCAGCTGTGCCAGGGGGAGTTTAGGCTGGAGATCAGGAAAAAATCCTTCACAGAAAGAGGGAGTGGGCACTGGAATGTGCTGCCAGGGAGGTGGGCACTGCCCTGGAGGTGTTTAAACAAGCCTGGATGTGGCACTGGGTGCCAACGTTTAGTGGAGATGTTGGGGCTGGGTTGGACTCGATGATCTTGAAGGTCTTTTCCAACCTGGTCATTCTGGGAATTTTGGGACAGGGGGTGGTGGAGTCACCATCTCTGATGTGTTTAAACAAGCCTGGATGCGGCTCTGCGTGCCAGGGTTTGGTTGAGGTGTCAGGGAAAGGACTCAGTGATCTTGAAGGTCTCTTCCAACCCAGTGATTCTGTTAATTCTGTGAATTCTGTGATTACTGCCCTGCCCAGCACCTTCTGCTGCCCATTCTGGCTCCTTTGCCCCCTCCCAGATGGGGTTTGGGGTGTGACAATGGGGGACAAGCCCCCTCCCAGAGCCGGGGGCCATACCTGCAGTTGTCCCAGGTGCCATGTGCAGGTGTGTACAGAGCCAGGAGGATGAGGAGGTACAGCAGGCTCATCACTGCCAGCTGAAAGAAACAAAGGCTTGTCTCTTCCAGGGCAGCCTGTGAGCCGAGTGCCCACAGCAGCTGCACTGCCCCTGGCACCTGCAGCCCTGGGGCTGATGTCACAGACTGGGTGGTTCCAGGATTCTGGGCACGGTGGCCTCAGAGGGCAGGGAAAGGCCACAGCCTTAGAGAAACACAGGATGGTTTGGGCTGGGAGGGATCTTGAAGGTCATGCAAGGAAAAAGGGGTCCTGTGCCTGCAAAATGACAAATCTGGCACAAAGGGAAAGTCACTCCAAAGGCTTCCCCAAAAGGAGAAGAGGGACACCCAGGTTCACCAAAAGGAGCAGGGGGACACCCAGGCCAAAAAGGGGCAGAGGGACACCCAGGTTCACCCCAGAGAGCAGAGGGACACCCAAGTATCCAAAAAGGAGCAGAGGGACACCTAGGCTCTCCTGAGGGAACAGAAGGACACCCAGGTACCCAAAAAGGAGAAGAGGGACACCCAGGTACCCAAAAAGGAGCAGAGGGACACTGAGATTCCCCAAAAGGAGCAAAGGGACACTCAGGTACCCAAAAAGGAGCAGAGGGACACCCAGGTTCCTCTGAGGGAGCACAGGGACACCCAGGTTCTCCCTCTTTTAGGGAGCAATCAGGATCCAAATTCTGTTTTGTTTAAGGCTGTTAGGAGCATCCCTGGGCTCTTACCCTTTGATTTTTATCTATATCAGCAGTGGTTTTGATGAGGCATCAAAATGAAATGCACAAAGCAGATCTTCCTCCCCTGAAACTGCAGCTTCCCCCCAGCTCAGAGGGAGCAGAATAAACTTTGGCTGGGAGGAGTTTTGTCACAGTGCCCATCACCTGGATCCTCTGGGGAAAATTCCAATTCTTGGCTGGCCACATGGATACAACAATCACAATATAATAGAGAGTTTTCTGTCATGTACTTCTTTCTCTTCTGATTTCTTCAAAATGTCCTTAAGATCTTTAAATTCTGTATTCCTCATGTCCCATTTCAGCAATATATCTGTCTCTCTTCAGACTTTGTTCACTGAGGCATGTCAAGGTTAGTTTAATAAAACTTTAGAGTGTCAATAATTTTTCCAGTAATTTTTCCAAACTTTGTTCCCGAAGTTAAAAGTTAATTTAAATTCATTAAAATTAGTTTTAAATTTTTAAATTAAAAGCTGCCATGCCCCTCTATGGCAGTGGTCACAAGTGCCATTATTAATGTGAGAACCACACATTTCTTCCTTCTTAGGCATAACAATATATGACAAATCTAAAGTACAATAACAAAACTATACATCACTAAAGCTTGTTTAATATTCACACAATAGTTATCTTTTCTTGGATCCTGATCTGAGGCTGCTGTGGGGCTTGCAGGGAAATAATTTTGTGCAATTATTGCCTAGGCGGAAGTGAGAAGGAAAACATAATTCCTAAATTAACACAAACATAAATGGAGTTTGTGGTGGTTGTGGCACCTCCTGCCTGTGCCTCAGACTCTCCCCAGCTGGAAGGTGTTTGGTGGGCCCTGATCTCCAAAAATCCATCCTTGCTTTCACAGTCTTGTGACAGAACTTGAACCCCAGTTCAAGTGGGGGTGATGCCTTTTGGGACTACCTAAACACAGAGGCCAGACAAAATTATTAAAATAAAATAATAATAAAATAAAAGTGGAATAAAACGTGTGTATATTTATTGAAGGACCTTCAATAAAGGTACATTTTGGGCAGATGAAGTTCCTTCACGTGCTACACCCAAAAATGAACCATGGGTCATGGATTTTTATATTTTTATAAGTTTGGTCTGTTTCATATTGGGGGTTAATCTTCCAATTACAGCTTCAGGTAATGAAGTAATTTACCCCAAGTTTGCTCCCCCCAACTCACTTTTGTTCACATCTCTTGGGGCCTGAGGCAGTGAGGTGTCCTTGGAGAGGAATTGTTGTGTCTGACCAGAATGGGAAAGCAGCAGCTCACACTGCACATGGAGTTTAGAGTTATATGCAAGAATTGCAGTGTTACAAATAGATGAAAAACAGAAAAGGAAAATTTGAAGGCATCAGGGGTGAATAGCAGCATCAGGGGTGAATAGCATGAGGAACACCAATAGCTGCTCAGAACTTCAGAGCATGGCCCAAAACCACATGGATCAAGTGCAGCAGGAACAAATCTGCCTCCAGCTGTCCTGAGCGGGAATCTGGCTAAAGCTGTGTCTGCTCAAACCCAGCCTGACCAAGCCTGGAGGAAGGAGCCAACGTGAAACTGCTAAAAATTCACTCAGCTCAGGCTCTGCAGGGTTCCTTTGGTGGTGCTGGTCCAGGTCAGCCTGGGGTAATTTGAGGGCAGATAAAANAGCTATGTTTCAAACTACAGACATAACACAAAGGTGTACATTTCACCTAAATCAAAATGGGTTTCTACCCCGGAAAATTTCCACTTTGCCTCACTGGGGGTGAAGTCATTCCCCTTTGACGCCAGCCAGGGGTCTCTGTACAAATCATGAATGGGATGGGGCTGCTGTGGAAAGTGCCTTGAGCTGTTTTATTTTCCAGCATCAGTCTCAGTACATGGTTATGATAATGGGAAGATGCCAGCAGCTCACATCCCTTTACAACTCACTTTATAAGTTTTTTGACCAATCACACAAGGCAAAAGCACATTGACAGTAGTTCTATCCAATCACTATCAGCACACGTACCTTTGGTTAAAACAATGCTTGCTTATTTCAAATACAATACTTGTAAGCTTTACACAGAGCTCCAATATTAAGCTTCAAACTTCTTAATATTTTGCTAGATAAACTTTTCTGTAGCTTAGAGAGTTATTCTAGACAAGCGTTAATACACAGACCATTGTTCTATTTGCCCTTGCTTTTCTACAGTTTAAATAATTTTTCTGCTTACTTATCTCATGGCTGCTGCTTAGCTTTAATCACAGTTCTGCTGCCTCTGGGGCCTGCCTTTTGCAGCTTTCCCAAAACCCTCTGATTTTGTGGATTCCTACACCCAGGGCTTGGCTTTGCTTCTGGAGCAGCTGTTGAAGGGCTGTACCCGATAGGAATGTGCCCTCTACTGATGGACTGACAAAACTGTCCTTTGTCTCCTTGTTTGCTTTATCTCTCTCTCTGAGTGACCACATTCACACCTCCCTCGGGAGGGGACATTGCTGATAACAGCTATTGAATGTCACTGCATGGCTGATAAGAACTACAGCATCCCATTGGGAGATGTGAGCCCAGAGGGAGGAGCCAAGCATTGCTACCCAGATATAATCCAGAGGTTCTGAGACACCAGCACGGCTTCTGCACTNCAAAGCAGCAAAACAAGGAGAAGCTGAAGCTTCCCAGGAGAAAAAGTCCTGGTAAAGGGATTTTCCATAAAATATCATGGTGACACCTGGGATGGCTGGGACACTGGGAGGAGTGGAGCATTGCACTGGGGTGGGAGTGGAAGAGGGGGAGTTCCCCACTGCTGTGGATATTTTGCCAACCTCAGGACCTTCCCCGTGTCCCTCCTCAGGCCACCACCAAGGTTTCTGCATGATGTGCATCATGGAATCTCACGTGAACAAGGTCCTGCACACCCCTGTCAGTGCCATCCTGCCCTTGGCTGTCCTCAAGGTTTTCAGACGTAAGTCATGCCCCGTGCTTTGCGAGGTTTCCTTCCCTTCTTGTATGAGAAAACCACAAACTCCTTCTTTCTTAGGCATAGGAGAGCATTTCCAGCCTGGCAGGGAGGAAGATGCCCATGATTTCCTGTGCTGCACTGTCAATGCCATGCAGAGAGCTTGTCTGAGTGCAAGCAATGAGTAAGCACAAGCAAATCACCCTCAGAGCATTCTGAGCCCTTTGGGCTGCTTGATGTGCTCCCCAAAAAAGGAAAACCTGAACCCTGGGCTTCCAGGCCAAGCAAAACTCATGGAGGAGATAATGCTTTGTCTTAACACTTGTTTCCAGCTTGGACCTCTCTTCTCAATCCACCACCATTGTCTATCAAATATTTGGGGGCTTTCTGAGATCCAGAGGTATGTTTGCACAACTATTACTCTGTTTGGCATTTCCTGTGCCTGACACTTGGTCCTGGGACTGCTGGGGCAGGTGCAGTGTGTAAATGGGCAGTGTCAGTCAGCTTTCCATTGCTCAAAATTCGGCTTTTTCATTCCAGTCACCTGCTTCAGCTGTGAAGCCATTTCTGACTCCTACGAGGCCTTCCTGGATGTTCCTTTGGATATCAAAGTAAGAAGCTTTGCAGTTGTGGTACAAAACATCCCCTGCAGCTTTCCAGAGCCAAGACATTTGTCTTAAAAATGTACCCAGGAGATCTTGGTGTGGGTGGGAAGGGGAATGGAGAGGCTGTGGCATTCTGTGGGTGCTGTTTTTGAGCTGGACAAGCAGCATTATCCTCTCTGCACCCTTGATCTGTCCTCATCCTTGCTCCCTTTGCCCTCCCACCAACCTGTCTGCCTCCCAGGCTGGTGGGTTGCATTGTTGGCACCACTGGTGCCCCTGCATGGTGGCATCAAGTTGAACTGAGCAGGGGTACAGGGAGGGAGCTCCTGATGGCTCCAGGAGCTGCTGGGACACAGGGAAATGTTCAGCACCGCTCTCTGCTCCTGCCTCCTCCTGCACAGGTTCATGCTGGGTCTCTCCAGCATCAGCCACAGGGGTTTTCTGGGGAAATGTTTGGGCTGAGGGCATTTCCTCAGTGTGCTCATTTCTCACTCCTCCAGGCAGCCTCGTCCCTCACTGCAGCTCTGGAGGAATTTGTGACACCCGAGCACCTGGATGGTGATAACTGCTTTAAATGTGACAAGTAAGATGATTGCTGAGAACTTATTAACACAAAATCCTGTGTGAGGGGGCTGAATGTCATTGAGCAGAAGTCATCTTCTTGTGGAGGTTTCCTGCACACAGATGAGATGCAGCTTTTTAAAAACATGGCAGTGAAAAGCCTTAGAATAGCAAAAGCTGTGTGAGGCAGGAGAGGTTTCCTGGCTACTGTGG